TTTTTTTTTTTTTTTACAAGTGCAGATAAAATTTTGATACTACTTTCAGTCCATATTATCTCCCTTTTAGGGTTTTTAATTTATACATTCTTAAGAGTATTTGTGTACTTCCTTTCTCTTAAAATGTTTAACTTAATACACTCACTAAATGAAAATTTCAAAAGAAATAAACTGTAACAACCTGGCCGGTCATTTTGTGTATTTGAGCCTCATTCCCCGATTTGATGCTTTCTGTATGTGTGTTTGTTATTTTTCGTGAAGGTTTGAGAGTGATTGGAGGCATTTAGTCTCATTTTGGAAGTTTAAGTTGTTAAGAGTTTACCAAGGTTTGACTTTTGAATAGATAGTCTGGGATTGGTGATTTGATGGTCCCACATCTGTTCGTATAGTGATTTTAGACTTAGGCGTATGTTCGGATTTGGATTTGAAAGTTCCTATGATGTTTTGGCACTTCTTGCCAAAAATTAAAAATTTGAAGGTTTGGAGAGTTCATAAGTTTGACCGGGAGTTGACTTTGATGAAGTTGTACTCGAATTGTTGTTTCAGGATATGGAATAGGTTCATTTTGTGATTTCAAGCTTGTGTGCAAAGTTTGGTTTGAATCTGAAATGTTTAGGCATGGTTCAGACATGTTGTGGACGTTAGAAGGTTTGCAACTGAAGAGACTGATCTTGATTCTCAATTCCTGATTTTGATGTTAATTGCGATTTTTTGAGCTTTTGGATAGGTTTGGGTAAGATATTGGGACTTGTTAGTTGTTACACCATGTGCGTCCCAAGGTGACGTATAATGAATACGAGACTTGTTAATCATGATTTAAATAATTTTAAAGTCATAATATGACTATATATGATGTTTGGATAAAAAATATACAGTTTTGGAAAAATCGGATTTAAGTTGCGAAAAAACCGACTAAGGATTTGGCTTTTAATGGAGCTTTTTGAGAAATAAATTTTGTGTTCTATATGAGGTCTTTTGGGACATATTTCAAGTTGAAGGTCTTGGAATTTAGTTTCTAGCGTAGTTAACCATTCGTTCATACGACATTCGGATAAAAAGATATAAGCGTCGGAAGATGGGCCAATGCGAGGGTGCCAAGCTAGCACCTCTTTGACTTTTCAAAAGTTGATATATAGGTCTTAACTCGTCTCTCTTTTCATTTTTACATAGAACCCAACAAGAGAACACCATAAAACATATCAGTGAGATCTCTAATAGGGTTCCAAAGAATACTAACATTCCGGGTACGAAATCGAGAAGCGATAACATCAGAACGATCCCTACGACGTAAGTATCATTATACCGCCTCTCTTTTTTCCTTGTAGTTCGAGTTTTGTAAGGTACTTCATAGTTAAGAAACATCTAATTTCTGTATTTAAGTGTTTAAATATCAAGGAAGGTTGATAAATTAGATTCCTAATAGTTAGAACTCACGGGACGGTGATCGAAAGCCGTGAGTTCTATTTTTTTCCACTTTTAGTGGACTGTTTTGTAGTACCCTCGTGTTGGCCTATTGTGCTGCCGATTTATGGAGTTTGGAAGTATAACAAGGGCGTGGAGAAATACCACATGTGGTAGGGTAGTAGGTTGGTCGCTCGTCGTTGCAGTTTCAGGCTAATTGATAACTTGTTGATTGGGTGTGTTATGGTATATTTGGTGTTTTTTTTGTATTAAAGGTTTCGAATTGTAATTAAGTTGGTTTTGAGTTGCTGATTATATTTTGTTTGTATTTCGCCTATAGTAGGCTTGAGGAAGTAGTAAAATCAGGGGAAATGCTGCCCGTTTTATTTTAGAATCGAGTTATCGTTTGAGATACGTAATATACTAGCACAATCTAAGTCGTACATGTATTTCTTTGTTATAGGGTTGGCGCGCTAGTTATCATAAGCTTGTTGTTGAGTTGCATTGACAACCTGAGGTATGTTAAGGTTATCCCTTCTTTTCTTTTGGCATGATCGATATAATACAATGAAACGAGTAAGCACACAACTTTCATAAATGATTCTATTCTTAGAAGTACTAGGGTTGCCTAGGTTCTGGATTCCCCATATGTCCTACTATCATATCGTCTGTTCATGGGTCTCATGACATTCCGAGAGATCTCATTGACTTACTTCATTATGTATTGCATCTATTTATACATGTATATTGACCCATGACCAGATGGCGTTATATACGCGTATAGTATATGTATATGGGGTATGGGGAAATGTTATGGTGTTATATACGCACCACCACCTGATCAGCTGGTACACGTTTATGACTTCGCCCACAGGGGCTAGGATTATATGATGGGATGCCCTCAGAAGCTTGATGATGTTATGTATGCATATACATATATATGATATGACATTTATACGCATATGCATGTCATTATAAATGTTTCATGATTCACAAAGCTATTCAAACTTACAGGTAGAGTCTTTTACTCCGTGTTTCTTTCATGTCTGTTATATATTATTTTTTATGCCTTACATACTAACATTATTCGTACTGACGCCCCTATATCTTGTGGGCCTGCGTTTCATGCCCGCAGGTACAGGTAGATAGGCTGACGGTCCCTCATCTTAGGATCCCTGCTCAGCAAGAGTTGGTTTTCTCCATTTGATCTGAAGCCGCTATTGTGTTTTGGTATGATACTTTTGTATACGTATGGGTATGACGGGGCCCAGTCCCATCTTTTATACAGTTGTACACTCTGTTAGAGGTCTGTAGATAGTCAAGTATAGTTGGATAGTATGTGGCCTTGTCGGCTCGCCCTACCGTATTCCGTATATATATATAAATATGTATACATGTCTTTTGGGCATGCTTTCCCACGTATGTTGTTCATATGAATCAGTAGTTTATTTCTAGACGTAATGTATGACCTACACTTATTTCATGTGTATATCTTAGACGAATGCTTAAGGGTGTTCAAATAGGTAGAACTCGGGCACTCTGTCATGCCCCAACCTTGGGGAGCGCGGCCGGCGCTCAACCGAGTGGACCCTATCGAGCAAGCTCGCTAGACACTATCTACCCGAATCATCTATGATACAGAGAAGGCATGCTCTCATTAGTTAGGCAGTAGAAAGTTCATACATATATACATTACTAAGTCGTTTCATTAGCTATTTCTCTTTTAAGTCTCAAAATACACATATTCTTATAGTCTGAGTGGAACAAGTGATCAAACACAACATAACTTGTTTAACATTCCCAACACCCATATACAACCCACATAGTGTCTACGGAGCCTCTAAAAGATACAAAAGAGTCTATGATAGTACCGACGACAAGGCCCCGGCTATACCTTGCGACGTGATAATAATATGATCAAAAATACAATACGTGACCCCGGGATGAAGTGGGACTCACCAAGTATGCTGGGAAGAGGATGTGCCACTAATGCTGATCAACACTGCCTGCTATCTAAACACCTGTATCCATTTAATGATCCAGCGCCTCCGGTAAAAGGGACGTTAGTACCGTCGAATAGCACTAGTATGTATAGCTAAACACCATCTCAATTGAATGAATAATAATACAAGGAAAACAGTCAAGAATTCAATACGAGCTTCAAATAACATTAAAACATCAAGTTAGGGATCACATAAGTTTTCAAGTCAATTTCCATGTTATTAGGTTGGGTGATCTTTAGTGCCGATATTCCACAATTCACAATACCTCTGTATTCTTACACGGAGTCCGATCTAGACCCAATCGGCTAGGTCATCTCATTTGAGACATCAACCATAACCATGATTTCATTATAATCTCAAGCACAGTTACCACCATGTGTGAGGCATGGCGTTCGATCACGGCCTGATCGGCTAGGCCGTCTCACCCGAGACATTACCTTTTTCAGTTTATAATTTCCAGCACAGTTACCACTATGTGTGCGGCATGGCTTTCGATCATGTCCCGATCGGATAGGTCGTCTCACCCGAGACATTACCTTTTTCAATTAATCATCTCACATCATACTTCTTTCATATACTTTCGATTCATTGGCACTAGTGATCACGATTACAAAGTCATTCTTGGCACTTGGCCGTATTTCATAGTTCCAGTCCCTTTTTCCACATTCAAATATCATTATGATTATCAACAACAATAAGGCTTCCCATTCAAGACATTAAATTCACATATGAGCAATTTGGGAATCATAGGCACATAGAGGCTTTTCGTACAATTTGGTGTAACAACCTTTATTTCGATCTTGACATGAAGTCTTAACATTTCTAACACATATTCCACATTTTGAACACATCCTCAAATGTCGAAATGACATGATGAAGCATTTAGAATGAATATTGAACATACATCCTTCAACACAAACACATTAAGAATAGCCAGTTCTATAATGATCAAGGACTTACTCCAATTACATGAACACCTTGGGATTCGATTCTAAGAAGAAGGGAGTTTAGATAACATACCTCAATTGAGCTTCTCAAACTCTAAAATGATCTGGATTTCTTAGCAACTTCATTCTATTTTAGAAATACAACAAGTTGAA